GGTTCGTAGTTTAATCTGCATCCATCCCAAGATGAACACATCCAAGAGGCAGAGATAACTGTGGATAATCTTTCCTGGCTCTGCACAGTGCATACAGGAGGTAAATAATCCATACCATCCATAAAGGTGAAACAGAAAGCCCCACTGGTGCGCAGGCCCCACTCTTGGACCCATGTGAAGGACAGTGAGACCCTGACCGTCTCTCCTGCATCCCACTCTCCAAAGAACCGTGGATTGCAACTGTACCTGGTCCTAGCTCAGCTCTGTGAGGTGAGGGAAGACTTCTTGTTCACCTCGTCCCGATCTGCAAGGAACGACCAACAACCCCGCCTCTACAACGAAACAAAAATACTTGTCCAAACGATTTTTACCTTCCCTCTTCAGCAGGGAATTGGATGTAGCTGTCACACCTAATTTTGTAGAAGTTCTCTTTGGCCACGAAGCTTGGAAGCCTTCTACCCCGGTCATCCACGAGGAAATCCAGCCAGCACTTACAGACACCTCTATGTGATGGGACACCATAGGAACAGCAGCCTGATTCCCTTACTCGTCTCAGGGCATCACTAATTATTACTACAGCTCTTGAAGATCTTATTAACAGCGAACACGACTAAACTGCACTTTGCTTCTGTAGACTAATGTTTAATAAAGCTACAACCTGTACCTATTTACCATAAACCCATCTCTCCTGTATGAAAGCTTAGTGGGACAGCAGTGAATAGTTTTGATACTGTGTTATTTTCCCATTATTTCCATTTCAGTCATTGCAGTGTGGAATTGGCTCTCATTATTTGAATTGCCATCGATGCTTAGGCTGAGACTAAATAGACGCCTTTTTTCTCTTTCAACCTATGGCTTTTCTGGAGGAATCAACCGTTAAACCATGATAGACATTTATTTAATTGCTTTCTGAGCAAATCCTAAGCCATACAACAGCACAGAGGTCAAGAAGAGAAAATCTTCGGGGTTTACTGACATTTCAGAAAGTTACCATTAATGAGACCTTGAGACATCTGCATGTTAGTTAATGGTTGTTCTGCTTTCATGTATAATGACCTATTTCTTATAGAAGAGCTAATATCTATAAATTTTTCATTTGCTGCCTAGAGATTTCAATAAAAACTACGAGATTTGAATTCAGTGTGTGTTTCATATATCAAATTATTACTGTAAAGATTTTTTTCAGCTACTTAAACATGGTCATATACAGAGAATGTACCGCCTCTTTTTTACCTTCCTCAAAAAAAAAGGTTCTGCTGGATGAGAGATACTGTTTACTATATAAAAACTCCTTAGTTTTGTCATGTTTTTAGTTCTGCTCATTATTAGATGAATAACCCCGAAACCTGCAGCATTAAACATTAAAAAAAAAAATCCATCTTGTTTGAGCCACTGTTACACCAGGAGATGAGTCCATGTGCATGTATTACATATATCATCCCAGCTGTCAGAGGAGGGCTCTCATGTTTAAGTGATTTAAGATTATGGTTCAGAGGCCACTTGCTTCCTCTTAAGTAATAATAATAAATACGCTAATGCTTTTAGTGTCATTGTTAATTCCTTATTTGTGAACACTCAGAGACAGGCTGAAGCGCTGTGGTTTGAAGACAGGATTTGAAGATGAGTTATTCCCAAGGAGAATAGGGAAGCCAAAACTGTGCTTAAGGCACCATCACTTGAGTGTGGGAGAACAAGTCCTCTTCCGCAGACTGGGGCTTTAAAACAAAGTCCTGTTTGGGACCGCTTGCCCTCATGGGCAGGAGGGACTAGATCTTCATTAAACTTCCTCCATGCTACCTTCCACTTTGCCTTCAGTTCCCGTCTTATCCTTACCAGCTTTAGCCAAGATCTTTTTTGGGACTACACACTGAATAAGTCATTCAGGAACAGATATTTGAGCTCTGATGCAACAAATCTACACATATTAAGTGGTAGTAATATGTGTAGTGGTAGTAATTCCAATCAAGTTATTAACTTGTATTTTAATTTCAGGCATATGAATTTAAAATCTTTACTTATCAAAGAAACATATGCACATGTGTTTATTTTTACTCCACCAAATTGTTAGGATTGTTCATCACTATAGGAACCTGTGAATTTGGATTTCAAAACAAAGCCATTTCAACATGCTGAGTGACTGAATGAAATGTATTATAAATCTGTGGCAAATGATGTTGCAAAACACATTCCAGTGTGACAATGCAGATATATTTGGAACAGTTCAGGATGTAATACTGTACATTAGGTTGAAAAACATCCTTGGATGATGGAAACTGTCTGAGCTGTCTGATGGAAACTGAAAAGTTGAGAATTTCCTCACTAATTATCATATGTCATGAGCACACGTGTTTTGCAAGATAATAAGAAGCTTATTGAAAGGTTCATAAAAATTAAGGAGAATGGGAAATAATGTGATGCAAAGACATCCAGACAACAGACTGGTCAGACTCTCGGTATTGGAGCTTTGAAAACTAGACTGGAAGAAACCCCTAAGGTCACGTCCAGGCTGTCAGACAAAGCAATGCAGAGAAGCAATTCAAGACCTGGGGCAGTAATCCCCTATTCCAACCTACGTTGGAGCACTATCTGGATTTAGCAGGTGAGCTGAAGGTGCAGGGTAGTCCCATTAGCTCCACTGTGTGTACGGTAATAAATCTCTCTTGACTCTGTGTACATTGGCGGTCCCTACAGTGCGTTCCCATCCACTTGCTGCTCTAGGGTTAGTACAGATGGATTCAGTCTAAATGCAAAGGATCTTATGTGAGGGCTTGAGGGGGTAATGAAGGAGCTAATGCAAGAGGAACGATCCATTCTACATGACTAGTCTCTGGGACTGCACCACTGTTTCTACCGTTTCTCAACTGGAATTTACAACATTTTCTTATTTTTTTTGGTGAAGCACACTATAACGCCTTCCTGAGTGGAGACGAAGGTAGGAAGGCTGCCTGACTACGACACAGCTTTCCACCCTTTTGCTAAAACAAATCCTGACTTTGGCTAGGGTCCTGCAGCTGAAAGCAAACTGCCCGATCCTTACACTGGTACAGACCCAGGGATGCTCAGTGCGGGCACTACGGGCCGCTGGTGCTGTTGCTTTTGCAGACTTGCAGGCTGTAAGGGATACAAAACACCAAAATATTCAAACCGGTGCTCAAGGTCTTACGTTTATCTTGTCTCTGTTCTTCTGTAACATGGGCTTTTCTGGGAAGTTCGATTAGATGCAACTACTGATGTCCAGATGCAGAGGTTCCTGAAATCCTTCCACTGTTTTAAATAGGTTTGGGATCCAGGCCTAAGTTTAGGCAAGTCTTTACCAAGGGAAAATTGTTAAAAACCTAGGTCACAGATTTTACAGCCATATTAATTATCTAGCTAAGCAGCCACTACTGTCTTACAGACCAGAGAACACTGCTTACTATGAGTCGAAGATTATGGGTCTAACTGCATTTTTATAATCTATAAAACCGGACATGTGGAAACTATGGAAGGAAATTTCAGTAATTAAAGCATAGCTTCTCCTAATTAACTCCAAAGCATCATTAAAATCTAACGAAACTGTAGTGGAATAACACAGGATTCTGGCTTAACTGCAAGGAGATAAATGCAAATGAAAGTTGAATTTTCACATGGTTTTGAGTTTACACAATAGGACTGAATGCATTTACAGTAGTTTACAATATAAAAGCTCACTTTTAACACTGTATGAATCAGTATTGGGAAGTTAGGGTATTAGTGTATAAGGAGTTAACATATTAAAGAATGTGATATACTGAAGCATAAGAACCAAAGAAATCAAAATCCTTGTTACTTAAAATAGTTGTATTTGTGATGGTAAACCGAATTTCACAGCAAATGATTAATAAGATAACTGCTGTTGCATCAGCATGATGTAAGACTAAATTTTTCAGTGTAGCGACCTCATCTTGGCATATCTGAACAAGCTGCATCATCATTCCGTATTACGCAATAGACTCAACTGAAGCAAGAACTTCAAAGCTCTGTAAGCACTAGACATTTTAAGATATTAATCTGCCATGATGCTTCCTTACCCTCCCTCGGACACTTGTTCTTAGGAGGGAAATCTTCATGGAAACTGGAGCTTGAATGCCTAATTTCAGATGATGTGTACCAGGTCCACAGAAGCCACAGGAGCATCGCCAATCTCCATTGACCAAAAATCTAGTCCCCAAACTGTTTTATCTTATTCAAGGTATTGCAGGTGGAAACCCTCCCATCTGACTTCAGCTCTCTCAAATATCCAAGGCTAGACAGACTCACTGCACATACCATGGAGAAAGAGAGTCCCCGAGGACAATTCCCTTGGTCTGTCCTGGCACACAATGAATCACTCTCTGAAGACAACCTTCTCCTTTAATCAGCTTTTGAAGAAACCTAGATGACCAGTCCTTTCTGAGGGCTAAAGTCCTGTAGGACTTCTACCCCCCATGGCTGCCAGCAGCACCAAATTTTCTGTATCTCCCTGCCAAAGGCCTTAAGTTCTAGCTGAGAGATTTTAGCTCAAGGAGATCAATCTCTACTGCCGTTAAATCCTATACTAATTATGCTGATGGGTATGTTGATGTCATGAGCATCAGCAAAAGGTCCAAGCCAATCAAACTCATTTCACTGCAACTCACAGATGCCAATACTTTTCAGAATAATACTGATGTAGGTTAGACACCAAATTTTGTTCTCGGACTAATTTGAAGACCCATTGATTTCAATAGTTAAGTACATTAAAATTATTTAGCATTTAGGCAAAGACTGGAAAGCAGAAAACATTTACCATAATGAAAAAAAAAAAAGCATATTTCCAAAGCAGCAAAACAGACCTTTTTTAAAACATCCAGTTTTTGATCCCAACATAAACATAGTAATGGAGGAGCATGCAGTTAAGAATTTGTTAGTAAGTTATATGCTGTTATACAGTCCTGTTTCTAAGAATGTACATATTGGACACAAATTCTTGGTACCTAAATTGTTACCTCGTGTACTCATACCTTCTCTGTGTCAATTCCTTTAGACATGGACCAGGTTGAGACAATATAATCCATGACTCTTTCACTAAGGCCTTTTGGGACTTGATATAATTTTAGGAAATCCCTCACATTGTTCAGCATCTCATGGTATCGGTTGGTGTTGGCATACATTTGCTGGAAAATGGTGGTGACGTTTCCAAATATAGTTGCATAAAGAAGAGCTGAAAAAAAACCCAAAGGTAATCAAAAATAAGTATGTATGTTCCAGTAAATGCTACTCATAATTCAAAGATAACTTCAAAGAACTTTATCTATCGTTACAAATTAGTGAAAATGTATCAGTGTAAACTGAAAATGTCTATTCATGCACACACTCTCACACACATATATGTACAGAGTTATTTATTGAATTTACCCATACAGCTCATATAGCCACTCAGTCTGCATTAATTTACAAAATCAGTCGTACAGGTAATGTCCACACATGGGGTTATTTAAAATCAGACCATGTGTTTTAACTCTGTATCCTACACTAAGCCAAACTAATTTTCAAATGTAGCTTCAGGCTGCCAGTAAACCTTGAAGGCACTATCCAAAGAATTATTTGGATCTCCTGTAAGATCGGGTCAGATAGCACATGCTATGAGTTGAGAATGGTCTCAGTCCCAAAGAATAAATGAAATGGAGAAGAAAGGAACCTGTGAAGCCTGGCAAGGAGGTATCTATACAAATCGGGCCAAGGTGTGCACAAGAAAGACTTGTAGTGGCATTTCATAGTCTAATTTCACAGCCAGCCCAAGAAGACGACTTGGGTATGTCATGTTAACTCTAGATGCCAGTCACTAACGATTCCAAAGAGAGAAAAATTGGATTAGTGAAAAACAGGAAGTCCCAAGTTTACCTCATTGCTGAGGACATATCACTGGGGCAGGAGGAGGACACTGTAAAGTAGGAAGCACTCCCTCAATCCCACTCCTGGAGTAACCTTCCCTTCTGGTTTGATTCTCCCCTTCCCAAACGTGCCACCATTACTGCCAAGCTCAGCAGCTGAGTTGTGCAACACCAAAGAATGATATGCCATACTCAAGAAAATCACATGTTTTAAGTAAGCCTTTCCAACTGTAAAGGCATCGACCTCAGTATACTATTACAAGTGTGATGCAGTGAACACTATTTGATGAAGAACAGTTAATTTCTGAAGCCTAAATTGAGCAAAGTATTTAAGCAAAATCTTAAATGAACACCTTTGCTAGTGCTGACTTGAATAGCGGTGAATGGAAAGATGCTCTTAAAGTCAAGCAAGTTTAAGGTGCCTTACTGAGTCACAATGTAATTACCCTTGCAAGCAAACCCCGAATTACATTCTTTCATTAGGCATTACAGATTTTGCAGAAAAGAGAATTATTCTGATATAACACCAATGTGTGGCACTTCTGCTTTTGACATTATCAAATACTCAGAAGTATGCCTGTCATCTTTAATAATCTTTGCTCGGAGGTACTTTATAGCAGAATGCAGCTATGCATTTCCATATTGCTTTTTTGAAAAACAACTGCAGCCTACAAATGGCAAGAAATAACCCACTGTGAAAGGAAAAATGTCTTCCATCTCTCAGTGCATACCATCTTCCCTCTACTCAAGACATTTCTGCCTCATTCCAGAAAACTCACTTTGTTTCATACTCATTTACTGTTGTTTATCACCCCTACTTGAGAGGTGGCATTTTTAAAGAAACACGGTGCTTTCCTAAAACCCGTCTAACAGAAAAATTTTACTTCCATTTCTAACAGTCCTTTGTACTATGTCCACATAAAAATCAGATGAAGTTAATCAGAAATATGACATTTGTTGTTTCATCAACGTCTTGGGATTTTTCATTTCAACACATAAAATCATATCAAACAAGGTCACACAATGTGCAGCAAAGATGAACATAAGGTTTCAGTTTTAGAAAACACAGCAGACTAATACTGTATGTGATGTCCAGAAATAAAGCTCTTTGCAAGGGTAGGTTTATTCCCCTGCTTTACTGATTGTTGTAGCGCATCTGCTAGATACTGAAAGGTTTTCTTTACCTCTGTACCCATTCAGTCATATATTTCTTCACCAAAATGGCTGTCAAGCATTGGAGCAGGCTTCCCAGGGAAGTGGTTGAGTCCCCATCCCTGGAGGTATTTAAAAGATGGGTAGACATGGCATTTAGGGACACGGTTTAATGGTGGACTTGGCAGCATTAGGTTTATGGTTGGACTCAATCTTAAAGGTCTTTTCCAACCTAAATGATTCTATTATTCTATTTCAGCACTCACTCAGAGTATAAGAGTATGCGGATTATAAAAAAGTCTAGGTGGATGAATACCACCTGACATTTTTCTTTCCTTTTTTTTTTTTTTTTAGCTTTCGCCACTCTTTTGGACTTTTGCAATACGACAAACATGATGAAGTGTCACTTCTAAGTGCAACATCCCTCATCCTTCTGAAGAACAGTTGCTGATTTATCACGAACTCAGCTCATCAGGTATGTGAGTGCAGAATATCTCTCGTCTTGCCCTCTGATGTCAGATGCATCTGACAATGACTGTGACTATAAATGTGAAGAGAAGTCATAACTGTCCCCGCAACCCTGCCTTTCTGCATGAGTAAAATTTATGCGAGCCTGTAGCTACAGCTAGACTGCATATGCAGTTACAACGCATGCAACCCAACTGGCCATGCAAACCTACACAGAAGACACAGGCTGATTGAAAATGTGACACAGTGCCCTGTAAAGTTGGGAAAAAAAGAGGTTCAACTCTTGACACCTGCCAGGTTGGAAACAGCTGAGAACACCATGGTGAAAACAGCTTGTCTGAAGCAACTGGCACACATTACCTCCTCTGCAAAAAAATTTACTCTTTGGCAGAGACAATTTGTAGAAAGCATAGAGCCAGAAGAGAAAATCTAGTTCTGTGTCTCTTAATATAGGGTCTTGGAAAGTTGTACTTAAAAAGAGTACAAGAAATTAAGGATAAAATAAGTCATTGGGTCAAACCTCCAAAATTGCTGGAAGCATTACCCAGCAGTACCTCCCTAAGCCAGAATTCACGAGCCTACACGCTGTAGAGTCTGCACAGACAAAACCAGCATTATCCCTCTCTGTTGGAAATCAGAGCCTGCCTTTGCCTCCTGTTGGAAATGGTAAAGAAACATGGTTGAGTTCATCTAGATATTCCACTTTTCTTATGGGTTACTGCATGGGGGTCCTTTGGCAGATATTTAAAAGGAACCTACTGAGATCTTCACAGGTTTGAAGCTGTGCCTCAAAGACTCTCCTCGCTTGTGGTGCTTCCTTATGCCAACACTGGTAGCTGCTGGGACGGGTTTGTTGTTTTTTAGGGGAGAGCACATTTTTCATGATTTGGCATGGAAAATCCATCTCCCTCTGTAAACCAGCTCCCAACCCCTGTTATCTATATGACACCTAGAAAAGGTTGTCATTTAAAAAAAGCTGATATTTATTGTTTTCACAGAATCACAGAATGTTTTGGGTTGGAAGGGACCTTTAGAGGTCATCTAGTCCAACCCCCCTGCAGTGAGCAGGGATACCTTTAACCAGATCAGGTTGCTCAGAGCCCCATCCAACCTAGCCTGGAATGTTTCCGGGGATGGGGGAAGACCTTGGTGTGCGACAAAACAAGTTTGTGCTGATAAGGAAATAATAAATATGTAAATAAAATCATTCACATTGCATTTGTTAGACCCATTGTGACACTCTCTACAGGCAAAGGGTCCTCTCCTTGGGAGGGTCTACTGAGAAGATGCTAGTCCACCTTAAAAACACAAGTTACCTGCCTTTGCTCTTCCCCACCCAGCTTTAGGCTGGGGTAATTGCATTAGCTGCAAATACAACAGAGATGGGACAGAAGAGGATCAGCTCCTTAACTGGCAGAGATGTCTCAGCTCAGGGGACCGACGGCCTCCGGAGCCTGTTGGATCCCCTGTGCACAGATGCACACGTGCCGGCACGTGCCCACACATGGACACACTGGCGAGCATCTAACACTGCTCTTGCCTTTCTCAGCCTTTAAACGCTTAAGGCTCCCCATGAATGACCCTTAGTGCCTGTAATTAGCAAACAAAGATTTCTCAGAGCAAATGTTGAAGTGCCAAGTGTGAACCTTACCCCGCACCTTTAAAAAAGCAAGGGCAGAGGAGCGCTACCGAGGGCATTTCACTCTCGCTGTATTTTAATTATTTTTGGCAAGGGGAAGTGGCAGCAAAGATCATTTGCAAAAGGTTCTGAAGGAAATAAAATACTGTGCCTCTCTTGGCAGTAAGAGGATTTAAACAATGTCTAAAGAAATGTCTAAAGGTATACATATACTTCAACATTTTTAATTTAGTCTCTCTGTTTACAAGAAATGGGAGAGATGATGCTACAGAGGTTAGAAGGTGAAATTACTTTACCAAATTTCTTGAAACGGCTACTTAGGTCAAACTGCTTTTATTCACTTTCTCTTTAATGCCTCACATTTCTCCAGACATTTCCTGTTATGTTCCTACTGTCACACAATGCTCATTTGCTTAACTGTCCTGTGTACGTAAATCTGGAACAGTCTTCACTAGATTTCATAGAGATCTATTTGACATAAATGATGCAGAAATATTTTTTCTCAGTCCTAAAGGTGAGGTAGGTGGTTCAACTATTATTTTAATTTCTATTTTTACTCTTCAGTGTTGAAAAATCTCCCCTAAATTATACACAAGGATCTAAGTGCTATATATTTTTATATATAAAATGTGTGTTACCATATTGGTACATACATAAACCAGTTTGGAATGATTTAGCAATAGTGTTACATAAATCTTTACATCTGTTTAAAAACAAGGAACTTTCAAAAAAAAAAAAAAAAAAAGACTCAGAGTTACCTAAATCATCCCAAAGGATTTCAGATCTCTTATTATCCTGACGGTATGCTACGTATGTCCAGACAGGAACATCTGCCTTCAAGAACTGAAGGCTCGATTGAGAGATCTTAGTTTCCCTATGGTCTGCGCTATGCTAGAGTGTTATTCATCTAAGCATATACAATATATCTTTAACTTGTAATTGTAAAGAAGATGATAATGCCTTGATCCTGGAAGAATATAGATACTCGTTTTTGCATGCTGAGGCTAGCTGCAACTCCTTCAATGAATTTCTGGAATTAGGTATTCCTGTAAGATTATTAGATTGACATTA